TAAATTTTGGAGCCATAAAGGGGCACTTGTCTCACTGAGTTTGGATGTTTCTTTTGAACAAATGGAAATATCTTGTCACCATCAACAGGCAGCTGCTGCTCAAACATTAGTGAATAAAGTAAAATGCTGTGCAAATGCTAATAAGCTTACATAGCTCTTTGAGGCCCATCTGCCTGACAGCAAATGCTTTTAGACTTCAGTTTCAATATGTTATTGATTACTTCAAAAGAATGAAAAGAAGCTTCTCGCTGCATGAGCCTGCAGGGACTCTGGGAACTTCAGCCTGGAAACTGATGATGTTTTTGAGTCCAACGGCTAAAAGGGTCAATTTAATCTATTTCATTAATTTTAAACACTATTTTTTTGCATTTCTAATAATTTGCACAGCTCCTGTGTCATGAATGTGAAATGCAAATGAGTGTTCTGAGAATTCACTTTTGCAACTACTGCATGTTAATCTCCACTGATTCATGTGATGTGTGTGTAGATTCTACTCGGTCTGGTCCAGTTTGGTTTTGTGGTAACCTACTTGTCTGAGCCACTAGTCCGAGGTTATACCACAGGAGCTGCTATCCATGTCATCGTGTCTCAGCTCAAATACACCTTTGGCGTTAACCCTGTGAGACATAATGGACCTTTATCCCTGATATATGTAAGAATTACATTAACTTAACCATTTAGTGCTCTTGCTGGCAATTTTATGTACTCTTTATTTTGAATGTTTTCTATTTTAGATCCATTCAATTATTCACCTATTTTAGCAGTCATTTTCTTGCTCCTGTCTTCCTAGACTGTATTGGAGATATGCTATCTCCTCCCAGAGTCAAACATCGGCACTCTTGTGATCAGTGTTATTACCATACTCGGCCTTATCGCGGCTAAGGAGTTCAATGCATTTTTGGGCAAGAAAATACCCGTTCCTATACCCGTGGAGCTGATTGCTGTAAGTATGCAAGAATACAAACAGTACTGTGCAAGTATTGAGTCACACTTTATATCTTTATATATTACTTCGAATGAGCCAAACATGTCTTCAACAATAGTTCTCTAGTCTTTTTCAAGGTCAAGGTTTTTTGTTTGTTTTTTTAAACACTGGCTTTTTTTTTCTCTCATTTTCAATCCTTCTTTGTACCCGACCATTTCACAGAATTGTGTTTTGTTTGTTAACCCATTTAACACCAACCTATGAATCATTGGCCAGTGGTGTACCTATTTGGTACCCTGAGGTACCCCTAAGCAAGGTACCTTCTCTGCCCACTGCTTCACTGAGTGAATGGGTTAAATGCAGAGAGGAATTTCCCCATGGGGATCAATAAAGTATATATGTTATTTATATGGTTGGCTCAACAACAACAAAAATGCATTTTCAATATGTGTCACATACACAAATGCCAGCAAAGAGCTGACAGATGCATCTGACCTCTACTGCTCACTGAAGCCTCATCATTAACAGTCTCAGTGGAAGAGTGGCTGTCAAGAAGCCGATTTATACAAGAACTGGACTAAAAGTCAGCAACTGCAGGTCTTATGAATAAGTAATCCAAATTTGAAAATTCTGTCGTCAAGATGACAACAGCGTCTACAGTCCAGCTGTAAAACACGGGGTGGCTCTCTCATGGTTTGAGGCAGCATTTCAGCCAGTGGTGTTGGCGGTCATAAATTTATGGATTTATGACCACAGAAAAGTACCCTCAGAGTTTGATCCACCATGCAATACCACCTGGAAAGCATCTGATTAACAACAACTTAATTTTCCAGCATGGCAATGATTGCAAACACACTCCCATTGTGGGAAAAGCATACATACAAGAGAACAATATCCCAGACCTCGATATTATTGAAGCAGTGTAGCATCATTTTGACTCGAAAGGAATAAAAGGCAGAAACATCCAAAGAAGCCTGAAGAACTATTCCTCAAGACTACTTGAAAATTTCAAAAAAAATAAAAATGAATATTAAAATAGCAACCCTCAAGTTTGTAAGAATTGTACTGATTATATTTTTGTTTGCACCTTACAATAAATCGCTACACTTAATTCCTATTTTCAAAGTAAAATATAAAGAAACTGAGTATTGCTCAAGACTTTGTACTGCAAAATACAAAATGTGTACCCTGAAAATCACTATTATTTTATTTCCAGATCGTTATAGCTACAGTTATCGCATGGCAATTTAACCTGCAGCAGGAATATGGAGTGGATGTAGTGGGAGTTATTCCCTCAGGGTGAGAAACAAACACACACACGCGCACACACAGGCATGCACAATGCACACACACACACACACACACACACACACACACACACACACACACACACACATCTGTCACATAAAAAGTGACAGTCACTATGAAAAGTAACGCTTTTCTTGACTCTTGTCTCTTCCTGTATATCAGTCTCCAGCCACCTGTTTTCCCAGACACCTCTATCTTTGGCCAAGTGATCGGTGATGGCTTTGCTCTGTCTGTGGTTGGCTACGGCATCGCCATCTCTCTGGGACGAATCTTTGCCCTAAAATATGGATACAAGGTTGACAGCAACCAGGTAGGATGATTACAGGTGGATGCAAACATGAAGTGATACTTTAGTACACTGTAAATAAAAAGTGTGTTTCATGTTTTAGGAACTAATTGCTCTGGGTCTGAGTAACTCCATTGGAGGAATTTTTCAGTGTTTTACTGTCAGCTGCTCCATGTCTCGCACTATGGTTCAGGAAAGTGCAGGGGGCAAAACTCAGGTCAGTAGAGAGTTCAAAAAACTCTCTCTTGTTTTCTCACCTATCATTCCTAGTATCCATGTTAAAGAATACACCCACAACCAGCAAGCACCAAAAGAGGTTTAAAGCTGGGATATGGAACCTGTTTTTGGTGTGTTTGAAATGAAAAAACAACCCCAGGATAATTATTCAGCATCTTGCAACTCAATTGATCTAAAAAAAAACAAAAAACACTCTTGCACCTCCTTTTGGTTCAATGTTCACCTTTTAGAAAATCTAGGCCATGACAGGAGTCTTGTTTACAAACCAAATCAATGAGTAGTATAAAACAGTATGAAAAATGTATAACAGGGAAAAATGTTGTTGTAGATGACTCTCATCTGAAGAAGCCAATATTAGGAGCTCAAATCCCATGTGAAGTCAGATGCACTGACTTACTTTTGGTGGATTCTACATGTAGCTCTAAGTGAGAAAAACAATTTGAAATGATCTCTTTTCTAGAGATCAAAATCTCTTACTTGGGAGACCTTTGCCCCACATAAATCAACCCAGAACCAACTATTTTAGCTCCACACATTATACCACAAACTCTGTAATGTATGAATCTGATATTTTGCCCTAAACAAACCACAAAATATCATGAAACTCTGTTCCCTTGCCATAGCCTTCAACTGATTTAGTAAATCCAATAAAGATAGAACGGTTTTCTTTATTTGTCTTTTGTAACATATGCCGCTTTCCCCATCTTTGTTCTGCTATCTTTGATATTTGAACTCTAATGATGTTTGATGCTTTGCCATATTTAAGCTCTAAAGGGATGCTTCATGAGATCATTGAAAGCATAAACATTCTCATCCCTGCACTTCACTCTGCCTCTAGCGAAAAACAAAGATCACAAAGGTTAAATGCAATGAACCACACATCATAATTAACGTTACTCTGATACAGTGCATGATTAAAAAACACTTAGGGAATTGATCTTTTTTTTCTCATCATCAAACTCCACCTACACAAGTACAAATTTACTGAAAGGCTAAACTGATTTAGTCTGACAGCACCATTAATCAGCCAAGGGCTATCGAGGAGAGGAGAGGGTTCAATCGATGTGAGTTCGCTTTATAATCATATTCAAACTAATGACCCTGACATCAAGCAACTGTTTCGCCGATCTCACTGCCCTGATTGCCATTCACTGTGTGCATATTTCCCCGCCTCTTCGCTCCAGGTCGCTGGGGCTCTGTCAGCAGTAGTGATCCTTTTTATCACGTTGTGGATTGGATCACTCTTTGAAGATCTGCCCAAGGTACTCTGTGTGTATGCGTGTGTGTGTGTGTTCCTGTCTAACTATCCTTGTGAGGACCGAAATATGCATTCTACTATACTTGTTTTTTGTTTGTTTTTTTGTTTTTTTTGCCTGTCCCATTTGGTTCTTTAGCCGTCAGAATTGTTGTCTGAAGACCAACAAGGATACCCAATGGATTTATTTACTATACTTGTGAGAACCAACAGTCACTTGTAAGGACACTCACCGGTCCTCACAAGTTTGAAGGCCTTTTTGAGGCTCAAAATGTGGTTTTAGTGTCAGGGTTACAATTAGGTTACGGTTAGGTTTAGGGTAAGGGTTAGGCTTAGGCATACATTTTTAATGGTTAGGGTAAGGGGCTAGGGAAACCATTATGTCAATGAAGGTCCTCACTAAGATAGCTGAACGGGGTTGTGTGTGTGTGTGCATGTGTGTGTGTGCACAGTCATAAGCATACGCATGCTAATCTCTTAGCCTTAGGTAAAAAACAACAGCTGAGGTTATGTTGACAAAATGCACAAACAGGTATTTCTTCTGCCTCAGGCTAAAGTTATCAGCTACTTTTAGAAAATAGTTCTTTTAAGCCCAAACATGGACTGAGCATGATGTAATAACTACTATTAAACAGTACTTCAGTGAGAGGCTAATGAAACTCGTTTCGACTGTTTCGAGAAACGTTTCCACTTAAACCGTTTCCCTGATTTTGCAGGCGGTCTTGGCTGCCATCATCCATGTCAACCTCCATAGCATGATGAAGCAGTTCTTGGACATCCCTGCTTTGTGGAAAACCAACAGAGTGGATATGGTGAGTGCACTAAAAAGGCCACAAGGAAGTGGTTAATACAGCAAAGGTATTTTGCTGTGTTAACATAGCATATGTTGTACTGCATATACTGCATATCTTCCTTACCTGCTGACTTTTAGATTAAGTACTATCCTGCTTCACAGTGCCATTTTATAGACATGATTTGGATTACAAACTACCTGGATGAGCAACTCCATATAAGAAATAATCCTGGCTTCATATGTTTCAGCTAATTTCCTTGGAATTAGCTAAAACAAACAAACAAAAAAAAAAAAAACTGTTAAGCAAATGATGCCCATAAAATTAATGACAGTTTTCTGCCAACATGTGTACATGTACAACATGTGACCTGCTAATAACAATCATATGTTTGCTTCCTCACAACAGTCCCCCATTCGCTGTGGAACGTTTATGTAGGTCTTTGGACTACAAGTATGCAGGCAGGCTTGTGTGAAATAAAAACCAACAGTGCACAGCCCAGTGGCATTGACACAGGTAGAATGGCCAATGATAGAAAAGTGGACTTGAACAAGAAAGATAGCAACATTTCACCACAGGGAGGAAAATGCAGAAAAAACTTCAATGACTTTTTATTTCAAATTACAATGTAATTATATTTACAAATACTGTATATTGTATAGTATTATGTGTTTTAATACTATGCAATACTATATAAGTATAATCTACAAATACTTAAAGGTAGGCACACTAGAATGAGATGTCAGGTTATTACAGGATATAGAAAAATAATTATACTATAAGTAAATTAAAGTACAGCGTAAGTAATTTTTAAAATTGTGCAATTTCATTGTAAATTTGCAGAAATACTAATTATATTTCCCCATCTCACATCCAACCAATGCTGTGATGGTGATGTGTGTGATAGAGCTTCTTTTATTCCACTGGCCCTTTACTTTGCCAATATAAATGTCACAGCGACTGTTCTCCCTTACCAATTTACAAGAAAAAATAATAACTGTCAACATTTTTAGACTTATGTCACCTCATAATGATAGAGACAAGTCTTAATTTTTTCTCCACAATCACTGTTCAAACATAACTTTTAAAAGGACTGTAAAGGAAAGAAGTGTCTCCTTTACTGTGAAATACTCAAGATTTAGAGGTTTAGCCTCTTCATAATATGACCTTGGTCCCCCAAAGTAATGTGCACGTACAGTGTAAAATGGGGAAGTATTGTTGTTTTTCAGTAAAATTATCAAGAAATTAAACAGTACCTGAAATTAATTCTGCAGTACCATGATTAATTGTAGTATAAATAATTACAAATACTTATACAAAGTACTAGAAGTAATCATTGTTATTTATTTAATTACATTTATTATTTAAATATAATTTTTAAAAATACAATAAATATAATTTTTTAATAATCAGTCATTTAATTTCAAATAAAACTGAAACATTGAAATTTCATTTAACTTTAAGCTTATGACGTCTTTGGTCTGGGGCCATATTATAAAGTGTTTCTGGCAATGTTGCCCTCTTTTTTTCATGCTATCAAATCTATTCTGGGCTTCACAGGTAGGGGGCGTTAAAGAGACCGAGACTAACGTCTTTCAAATATAATAGAGGCAGGGAAACAATGTACAGTATGTGACAAATGAGGCACTTTTTTTTATAACAGCAGACCACAGGCGTAAGCTATTCCTTATGCTCTCTGTTTCTCTTTGCAGCTGGTCTGGGTGGCCACCTTCATCCTCACCTTGCTGTTAAACCCTGACATAGGACTGGCTGCATCCATTGGTTTCTCCTTGCTTACTGTCATCTTCAGGACACAGCTGTAGGCACACTTTGCGTTGGGTTAT